AGGACGATCCCACAAATAGTGTTGTTGTCAGATACTTCGAATGCGTATGCATCGATTCCAGCAACGTGCGTAGCAAGTGGCTTGTAATATTGATAAATACGCTCCAAATCGACTCGTTGATCGTGCCGCGAAAACCAACGAACACGTGTTACATGCGACAAATCCAAATCCTCGCTGGACATATTACTGAGAGACCGAATAGTAAACGGCGTCTCTGTGTTGGCCACAATATACTTGTGACCCGTAACTTCGAATACAACACCAGCAGATGGTTTGAAGAAGACGGAACAGTCCGTAAAGTTCAGAAAGGCCGATTGTAACCGGCTCAAAAATTCCGCATCCTTCTTATCACATAATCTGCCTAGAATTACGCTCGAGATGATTGATGCAGTCATCAATGATCGTTGAACTTCGCCGTTCTCAACCACAGGGTTGATTTGAACAAGCCGACTGCTCGTATCTGTCGGCGCTGTTTGTTGCTGAAAAATCAAATCGTCGAGCATCTGTCGGTTGTGAATTGCTTGCTCCAGCTCATTCTTCGTAAACGATTCTTCCTCGTCGAGTAAAGTTCGTGCTGACCCTCCATAGATCGCATATGCTTCAGCCAGCTGTTCTGGAGAACGCTGCTGTTTAGCCAACTGGCTAGAAACACAATTAAGTGCTACATGTATATTCTGAGAGCAATTGAGTGTGCTTACCGAGACAAATAAATCTCACGCCACGTCCACGTTTCCATAATAAACCTCGACGGCTTATGATTCTTTTCAAAGGTATGATATTGTGACCGCATAGGGGAGTTGTGACTAGCATTTGTACCCCAGAACGACTCGGCGTTACGGTTGACTGATTCGCGTTGCAGTCATACAGGATCAGTGTCTCGAAGGGTTGTTGTATAATCTCGTGATTATCGGTCCGATCGTACAAATCTCGTGGAAATGTGTAAACGCCTTCGTTCTGGAATAAATAACACTTGCTGGGGTTTAACATCAAAACCGTCCGCTTTTTCTCGGTAAGTCGACACAAAAGACAGTAGGTCAGATATACAGTTTTGCCTGGTTGTGACATAAGTTTCCTGTGTCCAACTGTTGTAAAAAGGTTGTACGAACCTATGCCCGGTTGTCCAATAACCAGTACAAATTTAGGCGCTTTTTCTGCGACGAATTCATCAAGCTTCTTGTACTCGTCCCGGATCATAAACCGCGTTGCGAAATTTGCGCCCGTAAGTTGTATATCGGTTCTCGGCCAAAACGGTAGTTTTGTCAAATTAAAAAAAGTACCCGGAACTGGTTCCTTGTCCGACACTGATCCCTCATCCGACACTGATCCTTCATCCGACACTGATCCCTCGTCCGACACTGATCCCTCATCTGGCACCTTTTTTTCCGTCTCTCTACAGATCGTTGACAACCTTTCTTTTTGACCCCAGAGATACTTATGTAAATTAAGTAAATATCAGTCCAGACTCAACGTCCTCTTCATTTTCCCCAAGCTTTTTAATAGACTTGTCTTCAAGTGTATGTAAGGATTGCGTGCTTGTCAACAACGAATTTATCCTAACGTACCACCTGTCTCAGAGGATTCTTCTCCACTAGGACGCGAGCGTTTGGCCGGAACGACCGCTACACATATAGATTAGTCAAACTTGCGAGGAACCGGCCAAATCTTGTGGACGGGCAGAGAACAAAATACGTACTTGAACCAACCACAGCAATAACATCTACCATCTTCTCATGCTCCGGGGTAGGTCCCTCAGGGAAATACTTGCTCAGACAACGTGCAGGGTACATACTCGCAGGCTTTAGAGGTGTGCGAAAGCAAGCGACAGCACGATCATGAAGTGTTTCGAGTGGCTTCCTGTTCAGATTGTCAGGCTACACATCGATCATCAGCATAGTGGCAGAATAGGAGACGTCTGAGAAAGACCTTGTAAAGGGTTAGCTTCTTGCCCGCCAGGTGATGTTTGTAGGCTGAATGGTCATAAATTTTTTGCTTCAATACATCAATGAACGCATCCTCCCTTATGAGAAAGGGACAGGTTTCGGCATTGCCACTGTCTAGCAGGCAGACCATGTAGTCGTAGGTGTTTGGACTTGAAGTAAAAGAAGACATGGTGGGGGATGAGAGAGAGACAATCACGCAGCGCCGGGTCCGCATGACGGTTGGACCCGTACATGTCTTAAATTTAACCTGATGATCATCTCAGTCAGTATTTGGTAATTTTGGTTGGTGGCACAGTTAACCACTTAGTGAACTACAGGATGAAGGGCGGAACACGGCGCACGCGCGTTTCTCTTTGTTTACATATATTTTATCTTCGCACTTTCCACGATCACCAATAGGAATCCCATCCCCAATCGATTTCGGCTGCACCCGCTAGTGAAAAGCTCAAAAGTTCATGGATCGATATATATATAAATCGCTACCATGTAGAACACTCGGAGACAGCGCAGCGCCCTTGCGACGTCTCTCGCCGACCTTCGTCTCCTGTGTTCATTGGCAACTAAGCGAAATCTCTGAGACATTGAGCACATGTAAGTCCACTTTCCTTCCAGCGTTTTGATTAGGATGCAGGATGCCCGTGTTAGATGCCTTCAAATAGCTCTTGCTCGAGTGGACATTTCCAGTTTCATTCGTTCTGACCTTGGTTGGTCTAACACGAGAGCTAGCTAATAGCATACCTGCGCATTGACGAAGGTTCGGTGTGGATTGGATTCCTGAAAAACACGAACCTTGGACAGGTCCTGCCGGATCTTGGGCTCGGTTCCCGAGTCACTATACGATAGACTTGGGTGATTTCGCGGCACCACCGGGTCAGTGAACAATGTCAGTAGCCTGATTTCCATATCCTGATCGCTAAAGTCATTTGTATAAGTTCGAATGCTGGCGAATCATCTTCAAGTTCGTCATGATTGTAGTCTGACTCGGTAGCGAGGAGTCCCTAGAGGCATTTAAGCGGAGCGAGTCCATCTGTGAGCCGAATCTCATTATCTGTCCCGGCGGTGCGTTTATCAACTGTGAATAAATTTTTTAAAAAAGGTATTCGCACGAGATGTTCGACCAGGCTCTTCATCTTTGTTCCGGAATGAATTGGGTCAATTTGGGCATGGTTGTCCCTAATAGGAATCTCGGTCCGGTGGCAACATGGTCTTCTAACTCGGAGTACGTCCCAGGAGAGTCGAGGCTCTGCAATCCGACCACAATCTATTTTTGTCTCGTGTGTGTAGTCCCCTTGGTCTTCATAATCTTCTCTGGAGGTCACTCCAGTCATTCGGTCTATGAGGAGACTTTACTGATCTCGAAGGGTCAGCAAGGCAAAAGGCGACACCGATGTGGACCTCGCTTTTTTCTATTATTACAGGAAATAGGAAGCCTTTGGCCGTACAGGAACTGCGAAACGGAAACAAAACGGAACAGAAAGGAAGCGAACACGAAATACAGATACAAGCACAAGCACACAGGAAAAGAATCGCCAGGAGAAGGATGGGGAAAGAGCTAGTGCGGGAGCGAGAGCGAGAAAGTGGAGCGCAAAGATCAACGTGCGTGCGTGCCGAGTTGAAGGAGGAAAGGACAACCGTCAACTCAATTGTGCAAACACCCAACTTAGTGGGCCATGGACTGGTTGTTGTATCGATGAAGGAGCTTATTTTCGAGGACGCTGGCGAGATGCCGATTTATGTCTCGGGTGACAGCTGCTTGTCCAGCTCTGCGTTGAGGTGGAAGACTTGAATGAACTTCGGATAGCGTTGGAGAGTTATCCTCTATCAGAGAGTAGGCGGCTAGCTGGCGATGGCCTATTTCTGAAGCACATGAACGCCCTTTCGACACCAGAATACGGGGAGAAGAATCACGGCGGTCAAGCGGCTCTGCCATCGCGACCCCGTTCTACAACCAAGGGTGTAGAGCATTCCACGGATTGTGTCCTTGCCACAGGATCATCTGAGGCTCGTCGACATGCGCGGGGGTCGCGGGATGCACGGTGGGGTGCGAAGGAGAAAGAGACGGAGGACTGGGAGCCATGGATCTTTCTCTATTGAACACAACAACGGACTCGGACGCGTCGTCCTCGTCTTCTTCCTCGTCACCTTCCTCAGCCGCCCAGTAAGATTGGTCTTCGTCGATTGTCCCTAGAATAATAATTGTGGGTGATCTTTCGATGGACTGCGCATGCGGCGTTGTTGCAGGTGTTGAGTCTGGTGAATTGCTTTCGCGTCGCCGGTTCTCGTTGTCCTCAGCCATTAACCCTGGCGTGCCCGGATCGCTATTATATCGGGACATGCTCGCGCTTGTTGGTGTATCTACTGGTGTCCCTGGATGGTAATCGAAAGGACCTGGTGCGTACAACAGGAAATCTATTTCTTCCTGCTCCTCGACGTTGACTGGAATGACCTCTGGTCCTGTGAACCGTGCATCGTTGACTCTCGGCCTTTCCACCGCCCAACCCGGTACAGCTGTCTCCGAATTCCTATTCGTCTCATGGTCGCGCGTCGTTCCACCATCTATCGCAATTTGCGGGCCTTCGGGTACAACAGGAACGACGCATGACGGTCCTTCAACTAGCTCAGTGACGCGCTGTTGCTTTCTTGGCCTGAGCTCGTGATCTTCCGCATCCGCTTCGCCTATTCGGCGTTTCTTGCTGGTGGGAGTAGCACGGCCTTCAGAATTTTTACTTGGACCCGACCTCGAAGCTTTCTTTCGAGACCATCCATGGCCGCGTCGCTTTCGGGCCTTCGACTTGGTCAGAGGCGGGCAAGGGATATCTAGGCCTTATGTAAGTTCAATATGACAGTTTCGTACGGTGGTCCAATTCACCTTCGCAATGGTTCTGTGATTCTTCTGTGGAAAGGCCAGAGCCTTGTGGTTCTCGGCTCTCAAATGCCTCAGCTGAATAAATATTTAAATGAGGGACCAAGATATAGGATAGGATTGGAAGCTTACCATTTCTTTCACTGTTTGCTTCTGAGACTTGCGCAGCTTGCGCTGTCTGTAGGTCAGAGAACCTAGCTCCTGCCGAGGAGGACTGGTCCTCTCTGATGATGTTTAGTTGAAGGGCGCCGTGGCTACCCGTGTTGGTGCTAAAGGCATTGGCATAGTCGTCGACGGAACCCTCAGCTGCGTCATCAAAGACAGGAGTACTCCTTCCAGTGATTGCCTGCGTGTTGTTTCTCGAGACGCCGAGAGCCGAACGCCTTGGCTGTGCCAACATCTCATTGCTATCAGCTTCATTGATTCTAGTTTCGGCGGCTGGAAGTCGCTTCATCATTCCTCGAG